TGGATTCTGCTCGTATTGCTCATAGCAGCAGCTTTTTTTGGGGTCACCTGTGAAGTTCTCTGTGCTGAGCATGAAATCGGAAGGATTAAAAAAACAGGAAAGAAATTCAAAAACAGTAGACTCCAAACCATGAACCCCAAAACTTGAGATCCTGAATTGGGAAGGAACGATAAGTGTGAGGCATGGTGACTACATGATGTTTTGATATTGATGTGGGAAAAGCAGGAAATCGCACAGTGCCTTGCCAGCAGTCATGCACATGGACAGGATCTTAGAATGTGTTCAAGCTTCAATATAGCGGATATTCATCGCTAAGAATAATGAATATGTACAGTATGCCCGGTCTTGCAGTGTTCGTAAACTTCTGATCACATGTCTCGTCTTCATTTTTCCTTATGGAAGCCAAACGCATACAAAGTACTTCTTGCGTGGTATGATACTCTCCTTCACCACACTCATCCCCACATGAAGCGCGCTTTCACGTCAGCAGCGGGGCTAGTAGGACTTGAGTGAGTGGCAGTATACAATTCCTCAAAATGATGATATGGCGAGCCAACAGCTTGCTATGTAAAATCTGAACTTAGCCATAACAGCGCTTTTCGGAAGGCATGTATTGGCAAGCTGGGACATGATGTCAATCACAACCAGCCGAGAACATAAAGAAGTACTGCAAGTGTCATGCATTCGCCCCGCCCCATCCGTACAAACCACTTGTGCCTTCTTGATGCTTTCAGCTCTGCAAGCAATGCTGGTCTTATAACTGAGGGCTGCGACACAAGTCTGCTCGACCATGATCCTGGAAATTCACCCAATAGCTTCCGAGAATGAACTTGCTAAGTAGTGGCAATCGAAACTCTACAGCGCTCGCATCCAAATGTGAACACAGGCCGGAATAGAATCCACGGCTCTGGGCTTTATGATACATTGGCTGTCTATTCTCATGCTCCGCTTCAGTCGGTAGAAGCTTGCCAGCACGCCTGCCAACAACATAAACATTTACACCAGCATTGTCCTGCAGCAGTTGCGGCCATTCTTCATAAATCTCCCTACAAACCTTACCCTAAACCCCATAAACCCTATCTATACGTGTGTAATATACATGTCCCTATACATCCCTACTGATTTATTGCAGAATCAATACTTGAAGGTGAAATTGGCAAGAGAAACTATCAGTGACCCAGGCTGCGGAGCTCCTCGTGCTGGGGGGTGGGTCCTACGGGGGTAGGTATTCAAGAACGTCAGGGAGCCTTGAGAAGTAGGGTCTATTGGGGACTCCTAGGTCATCCACCCTTCCTTAAATCAATCCCTCACCTGATTAACTTTCGAAACTCAAATTGCAGTCTGGCTTTTGCGGAATAAACTATTACATGGTAGGTAACACGATTGCCCAAACCTGCCCAACAATAATCAACAAGGCCATTATTGACATGCTCTTGGGGCTTGGGTGGGGTTTAGGGCTGATGGTCACCCCATCCTCTTACCATTGCACCCTCTCGGCCCCACTAACATCAAAATTCCCAATGTATCATTTATCACATATCATAATGGGAATATCTAACTATCAGAATTCCTGAAGTTGAGCCTTCAATAACATAGTAAATTCCATGCTGTTTTCCATTCCCCTGTATACCTGAGTATAAGCCCATGTACTGTAATCCCTATAGGTCATGCCTAGATACTCTAGGCCCTACATCATGCACCCCAAGCCTTGAACCCTAGATAATTGCTTGGGTGTTTAAATCTTAGTCGGAGGGGCCTACTTGCTAGGGCATGCTTGTGCCTGTTTGAGGCCAAGACGCAAGTCTCAGGGATTAGGTGTTAAGGCTTGGGGTTTAGGGTTTGGGATTTTAGGTTAACACGTTTAAGGGTTTGGGGTTCGGCGTTTTGGGGTTTGGGATTTAGGGTTTCTTGTTTAGGGTTCGCGGTAGTAAGGTGTAGGGCGTAGACTTTACCAGCAAGTCCAAGAGGAACATGTCACTGCGACGAGATGCACAACATGGGACTCTGGATGTTTGGGTAAATGGTCTTGGTAGGTTTGAGAGCTGCTGCCCTCCAGATTTGTGCTTCAAATAATCCAAAAGACGAGGTGGACAATACAGCAAACGTAGACTCTGCAAGCTCCCTTACAAATGTCCAATGTCAAAATGCCAAATGAATAGCATTCTTAACGGTCATACCAAGTAAACATCTGAGCTGCCAGAATCTGAGGACAGTCAGTATTCTGCCAGCTGACCAAAACTGCGGGCTTCAGTAACTTTAGCGCCAGATTTTGTCTCGCTGCGACAGGTTTCCAGGACGGACTAATGCAGGGACTTCAATACTTCCAAACATGATGTTAAGGTGTATTTGAGAAACTCTAAAAACTAGTTGTATAAGGGATCCAGGGCCATGATGTTGGGAATTGTTTGGGCCCGTACAGCATAACAGTGGCTTGTACTTCGCCAGGCATGAACCGGTCAGCAGCCCCTCACATATCATCTTCCGGATCCTCTTCCACATCCTCTATAAGCAAGCAGTTCTTGATGTCTCGCTGCTTCTGCACCTTAATCTGCCCTGACTCAAAAACAGTCTTGAACTCCAATATTTGAACACCAAAGTACTTCTGTCTAAAGGCTGAACCCATATTTCCATCCCCAGGAACAGGACTGCACCCTGGGGGTGGCATCAGCTTCAGCCCGACCTTCGCAGTTTCACAGCAATGGAAGCCTCAGCTGAATGATTTAATATTTTGGCTTTACGATTTAGAATTTGGGGTATGGGGTGTGGGGTTTACGGTTTGAGGCTTAGGGTATGGGATTGAGCGTTGAGGATTTGGGCATAGGGTTTGGGGTTAAAAAAGCTGGCAACGTTGAATTCCCAACGACAGGCGCAGTCTGCTGAGCGGATATGGAATATTTCAATACATGCGTATGACTGCATGCATGTATGCATGTACGTATGTATGTATGTATGTATGCATGTATGTAGAAGCCTGTCTGTATTATTTCAGTATATTTAAAGAAAAATATACATCTATATATATATATATATGTGGGTAATATTTATGTCGTATGTTCTTAGCAGGAAGGCTCCTAAAGTTCGGCCTGAGAAGCTCTCGCATGTGGAGCCTACGTTCAGATTGTGAGCGTGGCGACACTCATGTGGACAGTTGGCAATGTGCGTCTTCCACCTGCACCGCTTGCAACAAAAGTGGTGGATAGGTTAAACGCCCACCGAGTAATAGTGGCACAGGGAAAATATATGGGGAACTTCATTTCATTACCATTACCCCTTGTGGTCACCGTTCGGAGAAGGCGTACGCTAAGGGATGCCCCATCAAGCTTGCATCGTGCTCTTTGCGGCCTTAGAGTACGTATGGTTACGCTAGTGGATGTTCCTGTGTGGGACTGAGAGAGGTGATCCCAGGTTTCTTCTTTGCCGGGAGCATCTTAGATCATCTGCGGAAAGATTTGTCATCCATGGGTTCTCGAAGGATGCCTGTTTTATGTCATCCTTCCTAGGGTATCTGGCTTTGCGCGCCTTGGTCCTTGGTGTGTGGGGCACTCGCAGCAGATGTGCCTCTCACCTTACTGGGGGTTGGTAGGGTTACATCGGGTTACATAGGGGTATATGGGGTTATTTAGGGTAATTTAAGGTTATGTAAGGTTATATAGGGATATATGGGGTTATATGGGGATAATGGGAAAGATAGTGGAAACTACCATTTAGGTTTTAGGGTTTTGGGATAGTAGGGAATCACGGAATGTAGTACGTAGGGAGTATACAGGGATTGAACTCCTTCATTTACTACTAACAGCAAGTAAGTCACAATCGAAGTCCGTCGCTTGTTCACAGCCCGGAATGTATGTGCAATTTTTTCTGTGGAAAGCGAACCAATCGCCATGCTCAGATCTCTTGTAACACTTGCAGCAGAACCTCGCTCAAATCAGAGGTTAAACGATTTCTTGAACCCTTATAGCCCAACCCTTATGATCCCAGTTTCCATGTTATGATTGAATTTCTTTTCCAAACCGAACCCCTGCAAACAAACATAAACTGCTTCTTGGCATCAAGGGAACTGTCTCTTAGACTCAGAGCGAGCTGTTCTTCCCACGTTGGCTCGCAAGCACAGCAGGAAGAGCAAGTACAACGTACGTGAAACCATCAAGCAAACAGGCACAAGGGCTGGCTGAACGTTGAGCAAAAAGCTGCAGGAATGCACTACAGCCTGAACGCTAGGCGCCAAATCCCACAACCTAAACCCTGGGGCTACATCCACAGCAGGCTCGGTGCATATCTTTGTCTCTGATCCAACAAATGGACATAGCAAGTAAACGGGGCCTGGGGCCGTTTGAGAAACATGTGTGCAAGCAATCTTGTTTCACCAGTGCATCCCAGTGGTAGTTCGCAACACTTCGCAGCCTGCTACTTGATCACCGCGCATATGAACAAGAGAATCAGTGTCTACCCCCGAAAGGAGGGCATGAGGATCATATTCCAAAGCCCTGCATTTCAAACCCCCCAAGCGCACCCCAGCAAGCCCTGATTCTGCAAAAACAATAGGGGCCATGAATGACTATGTCTTCATTAACGTCAGAATCACTGGCGAGGAACCCAACTAGTCTAAAATGCCCTCGGGACGTTAAACCCTAAACCCCAAAACCCTGAGCCCTAAAATCCTAAAGTGGGTGTTGTTTGCAATCTACCTTAGGTGTCGCTATCTACTTGAAGCCCCGAAGCAATGAAGGATCCTTTCTTCCATTTTCACGGGAAGGGATATCTCTCAAACAGATTCCCCCTAGCATCTCAAGAATAGGACTGCCAGAATCCCCTTATAATCCGCTTTTGTCACTGGGGTTGTGGTTTCCAAAGCCTCCACCATTGTGATAAAAAAGGCCCTAAACCCTATAATCCCCCAAGCTCCAAGCCCCAATCCCCTAAGCCCAAAACCCTAAATAAACCCCTTAAGCCCAAGCCCTGAACGGCCAAACCTTAGACCCTACACCCTTAAACCATCTACCTCACTCTCCGGTGGCAGCTCCATAGGCCCATGAGTCCTGTTCACAGTGGTTTGGGGTTTGAGGCTTAGGGTTTCGGGTTTACTTGAAACAGCCTAGCTATGCAAAAACAGGCTAATTCTTTAATCCAAAATGGTAATTAGGGGAGAGTAGGCTATATTTTATTGCTATTGGCTGTCTAGGTAGGTGCTTAGGTAGCTGCAAAAGACAGGTAAGTCCTTCAAATCCTAATCCCCCTCAAATGAACGCCAAAACCTAAGCTTCTCAAAAGGAGCATGATACTGTGTGTACGTGTCCTATAAGCCCTTAGTAAGCCCTAAATACGGGCCCATAGTTGGGTCCTGGTTTGGTACGAGATTGCCATGTGTGCGCTTGTGCCGTAAAAAGCCGTTCTAGATTAAATACTAAGAATGGAGATCTAAATGGACCAGAAAAGGACATGAACAACAAACTTAGGTCCCTTTGAAATCATAATGGAGAATCGAATGGACAAGAAAATGAAAGATGGAATGGACACTGGCTTTTGATAGGGGATTATAAGCAGCAGTCGGAAAATGACTGCCTGAGGTCGATTTCTTACGCCGAAACAGGCTTGCACCACACTAAAGCGGTTTATGCATCTGACTGCCCTTGCTGTGAAGGGCGTTTCCCATCCAAAAGATGACAGCATGGATCAGAGCATCAAAATCACCAGATCGGCACTGCCGAGGCAATCCACAAGCACTCGTGACATGATTTGTGCAGCAGCCGTTTGTCGCTCCGAGGCACTGCAGATTCTCTGGTTGTGCAGGCAGAACTATTAAACCCAAAACCCTAAACCGCATGGCAAAGATCAACGGTTTCTTGTACATTGAAAAACTCACATGCTACGAGCTCTGGCTGCGTGAGCTCAGTACCCTAAGCGCCTAGATACCCAAATGTTAGGGTTTTCGGTGCCAGAAATCACCAAGTTGATTATAAGATTTGGGATCCGAAGCCCAATCGTTTGCGTACTTGGACTCGTACGCCCTATACCTCCCGATGTATCCATATGATGCCCTATATATCCTAGCACAGATCAACGTAGCCCCTTCGAAGCCTCATTGTTTGGGCACATGGAATCTCTAGGCTAACTGCCTGGTTGGTGCTCCTCAATATATCTCTCACACCTCTGAACCTGCAGCTTCCTCCCTCCCCAGGTAGCACCATCTGTGCCTCCGTGCATACACTGGCCGGCGACATCGGCTCCTCCTGATCGCAGTGGCTGGGACCCTGGAGGAGAAACGCCGCAAAACATTACAGTAAAAGGCGTCAAAAATGGAATTTTAAACGAAATGCTTAATGCTGTTTCTTACTTTGCCCAGGTCTGAGGGCAGCAGCTTCCTTTCTTCAACTGTAGCCATTCTCTCTTGATATTGAAGAGTTCCTCACTCCCGATTTCCACCCCCGCTATATACATACATATATATATACACACATATATATATATATATGAATTTCCCATAATTGGTGGTACCTTCTTGGGGGTCCTTGTGCTAAGGATTATAGCATTCGGGGCCCAGCTCGTAGATCCAAGTGAATGGGCACTCAAACCCTGATATGGGGTTTCCTAAATTTGGGGGTACCTTTTTGAGGGTCTTCATAACAAAGATTATAGTATTCTGGGGTCTATATTGGGGTACCCCTCGATGGAAACTCCGATATATTTGCCACAAGCTTGGAACCCTTCATGCCACCAATGCCGAACGTTCCTGCCATGCGAATTTCCGAGAAGGACGGATCCAGAACTGATGTATGGAGAATATACATGGTAGTTTCCGTATATGAGGGACCCCGACGTAGACCTGCTTTGCAAGCAAATGGATTATCTAGGGTTTGAGGATAACACCTTCATAAGGGAGAATTGAATTGCAAAGAACATAGAAAATCAAATTGAAACTGGGAATGTCTAGGGCTTTGCTGGTATGTATGTATTCTGGGGCCCAAAGAATCAACAAAGTCCTTGTGGTGGTAAGCAACAACCATGTGAGTGCAAAGGCCGCATCCCTGTCATTGCACCAGTGGCCTCCTCGACCACTGAAGGCAGCAATGCCACCTGAGCTGGGCCATTTCCCTTGCCGCTTGTTTAGGGTTCCTTTGAACGGGGTATAAAGAATCAGGGGTGAATTTTTGGGAGCCGCCATAACACGAAGATGCTGATGTCGATTTTTTGGTGCATGAGAAAGGACCTCATGCGTGGAACTGCCGCTCGCAAGCCACCCAACGCAGAGAAACGCAAAATGATTGCAAGCAGAATCGTCTACGTGTTTGTAAACTTGAGACGGTCGTGTGCGTTGCTATGTTAGGTCTAGGCTGACCAGCAAGAATCATGAACAGAAGTGTTGGAGTTGGATGCAGAACGCTGTCGCAACCGAAAATTCAGGCTGTTGGGATCTTGTCCAATTTGGAGTGGGCCCATCTTCTTGCTGTTGTTCATAGTATGGCGAACGGTATAGCTTTGATTATTACTCTTATGATTGCTGTTATTGGCTCTTCGTATTATTGTTGCGATTATTGGTGTTAATAAGGAACCCTGATTTCAAGGAGCATCTCTGTCCGCAAGGCGACGTTTGCAAGTGCTCAACCGGAGCCACTCACAAAGCTGATGCTTGCCGTGAGAGAGGCGATTGCCCGCAGGCCATGACATCTTTGATTGATTTGGGAGTCTCTCAAGGTGGGAGCTCATAACTGTTACTGGGGATGTAGAGGGATTATGAGGGGATTACAGGGACCCTGATTTGGGATCGTTTTCGATTTAGTTGAGAAGTGTCCATTCCGTGGGTTGCTGGCGTCTCTACTCGGAAACGTTTGGCTTGCAGCTTAGCGCTACAGCACCAGTCGTCAGTAAAGGGCCTGGTACATAAGCGGAAAGCTAAAAAGAAGCATAAATAGGTATTGTACAACGTGGCCAACTTCATGACTTCTAAGGGCCTGCAATCAACCTGTTAAGCCAGAACCGTGTGGATCATGAATTTCCAGGCGCCTTGCTTCAGAATTTCACCATTAACCCTTACCTAAGCCCTACTGCGCTGTTATAAAGTGGGTACTGCCATGGCCTGCAAAGAGGCTTTCGTAGGATGAATATTGCCTAGGGTTTGGGGTCGAGGGTTTAGGGGTGTATATATACCATTATATACTCATACTTTGATGTTATCGAACTGTTGCTGGCCGGGGGCAGTACCCAAGTCATGGCATCATGACATTGCAAGCCTGACTTCCGCGCCTACGCAGCCAAAGCTTCGTAGGTCAAGTTCCAAAGGTTCTTTGAAATGCGCATGCCCTAGAAATGAGACCTTGCCGTCGCAACATCTGGACATGAAACCCAGTCCCTAAGTTCTGAACACTCGAACCAAAGCCGTAAACCGCTGAACTCCAAACCCAACCCCTATACCTGACCTCTAATCCCTAAACACCCTCAATCCTAACATTCATCCAAATCCTGCCAAGAGGCCCAATCGCTAAATTCTGTCAGCGGTGGGTGGAGCGGCGACTTGGTAAAGAAGGGATGGTCACCTTAAGGCTTGTGAATTTGGGGTTTAGGGTTTTGGGCTTGTCAAATTTGACTTAAATGGCCAATCACAGCATTTGAGGTTCAGGGTTTGGGGTCCCTTTAAGAGGGATAAAGGGCTTCTACAATCATGGAGAATCAAATGGACAAGAAAATGGAAAATCAATTTGTGCGGGGGTTCTATTGGAACTTTTTCAGGGATTGAAGGTATATGCTGAAGGATTATCAATACCATTCCTGTGTTGCGTTACGCTGGTATGTGGGGTTTTCGAACAATGGGACGCGAACTGCTGATCTCCTCCCCCAAGATTGCACATTAAGAAGCGGAGATGATTCTCCTGTCCGGGATTAACCCCAAAAACCAAAACCCGACACTTTAAACCCAAAATCCCTACAAATGCTTACGGGAGTGGCTCCCTATCCCTACAGCCTGCTACAGCTACTTGTTTGAGCCCATGAATTGCTGGGTATACATCCCTAAACGGATCATCGTCCCGATGCAGCTACCTACCTGGACAGCCCAAATACCCAGAATAATAGCCTAGATGCCCATTATTTAAGCACTCAAGGCTTTGTCCCCTGAACCCTAAAGCCAAGAAGCTAAACAGCTCCAGACCCCAAGCCTGAACTGGCCACATCCTGCACACCCCCAAATATGTAGAAATAATGGCCGTTTTGATATTTCTGGTGGTTTTGGGCCATTGTTTCACTTAATTTTTGCGGTCCAGGATGACGCAGAGGCATGCTTTTGAGGATGCTCGTAGTGTCAGCATGTTCACTAAAACAACCGTTGTCCGGGGCTGCAACTCCATGACCCCCACGGCAAGGAGGAAGTGTCAGTAGTTGAGGGTTTTCAGGAGCTCAGGGCAGGGCTTAGGGTGTCGAGCTATTTCGTGTGCCTAGAAGTAGGGGGCTTCCCCAAATCAGGAATTTCTTTTGGGGTCCCGAAAAGAAGGATGAACGTATTTTGGGGTCTATATCCGGGTCCCCCTATTTAGCGACCTGACCAATTCTTAAAATCATTCTACCTTGCAGGCCTCAGTGGGATAGAAGCGAGTCCTGTAAAATCCCTGAGTGAGGTGCATGGAGAACGGTTACGAAGGATAACATACTAGAATCCAGCCTAGCGCACGAATCCATGAGACAATCTCTGCGAGTCACGAATTCCAATTGGCCTTGATTAGCTTCAAATAGCCTTAAACAAGTCAAATAATTAGCGGACACCCGAGGGCGAGGAGGGGAGGAAGGGAATCCACCTACACCCTACAAGCCCTCAACCCTCCAAAGCCTACAGCCTAAACCCAGAAAAGCCGAAACACTAAACCCTAAAGCCTAAACCCTTTGAGCTCTCAGGTCACATGAATGTTTCACCACCTTACCCTAAGAACAGACAAAGGCAAAATGTGATGTAGGAGGGTTGGGAGGCCTGGTGTTAGGGTGAGGCGATTCGTGACTAGAGAGGATGCGAGCTACATCTTCCGTTGATCTAGCTAGTCTGACGAAGCATTCGATCTAGAAAAGTCGTCGTAATCCATCATCTTCCCAATACCCCTAGCCTAAACCTCCGAAACCCTAACCCCAAAACCCTGCTCTAAACCCTAAACCCTAAACCCTGAACGTTGTACAGCTTCAGCTGCAGCCCCCGGCTTTACATTCCCTGTGAGGGATGAAGGTGCAGACTCCCAGAACGGCATCGGAGTCCATGACAGGAAAATGGAGGAAAGACCGAGCTAGCAGCGAACAGGGCGCGTGAGGAGTGTGTGTGTGTGTGTGGTCATATTCCTATTCCTGTTTCTGGAGTTCGGCCTATGCTTTTCGTAGCTGATAGACACGGGGGCTTTCTGGGGATCGCAAATGAAGAGCACAGTGTCCAGCCCTGCCTGGTATACATCCATACTGCGAACACTATAAATTTGCTTCTTACCGTAATTCGTGGGCTTCCTAAACACACCCTTTCCATTCAAGAGTTTGAGACAGTTGAACTAAACCGAATGCCATAACGCTACGGAGTGTAAGTTGGACCGCTTCAGGCTTCAGGGGCTTCGATGCGCGAAATCCGGGAACTCTGAAAAAAAACCCCGCGCCCTTGCGCTTCCGAAGCCTTAACCCAGACCCCTCGCAGGATATGAAACATATTCCTTATAGAAACCCAGAACGTCCCCCATCATAATCTATTTATCATCATAACCTAGGGGATCCAATCTTCAGATCCCTTTGGGGGTCTGGGCAAAAATCACGGGAATAAACTATCAACTCCGCCTTGGAGACTCCCTGTGCCCCTTTTAAGGACACCCCACTTTCTTCTGGGGACCATTCTTATCCCTCGGGAGTGTTCGGGGTTAGGGGGATTCCTTAAAAGGGAATGGGGCAGTGAATATAGGACCATTATAGGGGTACATATGGGGATTATATAGAGACGCTTGAGAGGATGTACTCCCCCACTCTTTAGGACCAGCAGGGTTAAAGGGTTCCCTTCAAGGGGAGTTGGAAATCATTTCCATGAAGCAGGCCTTCTGGGTGTTTTCAGTGCCTCATCAGTACTACTGGGAAGGCCTAGATGTATGGCGGTCCCTTTAAAAGAGGTTATAGGGGTTATATAGGGGTATATAAGGATATGTAGGGTGTACTGATTAGGGTTTCGGTGTTAGAGTTTCCAAAACTAGGGGTACCCTTTTGGGGGTCCTCATAAGAATGATCAAAATAGGGGCTCTAGAGTGTGTTTCCTTGATTTGGGGATATACTGGACCCCTTCAGGAAATGTGTTCTAAGACCTCCACGTGGGGTGGTCAACAGTACTCTCTCTTGACGAGCAGCCTAGATATTGGGAGCTGCCTTGCATTCGGGACCCCCAGCAAAGATCACAGTTTTGACAAGCTACCGTACCATATTTGACATGGATTCTGTGTATAGTATACAATGAAACGGACAAGACAAGCAAAAAGGTGCATAAAGGGTTTTGGATTTATCATTCACGATTGTGGGGAATCCCCGTGGAGGGGACATGCCCTAAGAGCCCACTAAAAGCAATTAAGGAATTTACTCTAGATGATACCAGGGTCCTGAACATGGTCTGGGGTAATATTGCTTGATTAAGGGGTATGTTGGGCTCCCTTGGAGCAACATTTGGGTGAAGGGTTCCAGTGGAAGCCTTGAACGCCCAGAAGCTGTGAGCAGGAACCCTAGACATGCAATGTATGTCCGGGTCCCTCTACAGGAGCTATACCGGGATTTCATGAGATAAAGAGGTTATACAAGGATATATGTACGTACATATATATATATACACGTGTATACAATTATGTATATGCATAGGGTGTAGGAGCCTGAATGACTAGTCTCGTGCAGAATCAACTGAAAATGTAACATTAAAGTTAAATGCAAGTTGATAGTATACAGAGGTCATATTGTATTATGTGTAGGGTATGTGCGGGGCCGAAAGAATGAGAACAGAGGTTTGGGGTACATTGTTGGTACCATAATGTTGACAAGTATTCAAGTTTCCAATTGCAGTTCATGACAAGTACAATGTGACGGTAACACATTTTGGATGATCCGGGTAAACGGCCTACCCAGAAGCATCACAGCAATCCCGTTGATAAGAACTCCGCAGACTGCGAGAAGATCGCTGATTTCGGGATCAAGTTGCAAGTATGCACTGGCCAATATCTGGATTCTGTTCTGTACCTAGACGTGGAAAAGACATGCTCAAGGGCCCATAAGGACGCCCAGCAATGGCCATACTTGTAAACTTGCAGCAGCTAGGCGCTGCTGCGAAAACCGTGAGGTCGCTTGCTTTGCAATGCGAACCACGGCGAACAGATTCGGGTGGACGTTCGTCGATGCTACGCTGGCCGCAGACAAGATGCAACAGGTGGTTCTTACAGCAGAGTTGTATGGCCTACGAGAGCATGCCCAGTTCGTTCGTGAGAGATGTGGTGGCGGATGGGCAAAAAGGATGTGCCATTGGAAGAAGGGTACTCTGCACACCTCAGCGTCTTCGCTGAGGGGCAACGCTGATGGCATTTTGGACATGCATGTTTAAGGCATGCTGGTTTGAACCCACAACATCAAGCCTCTTTGGCTTTATCCAGCAGCATATGGGTAGCTTCATGACTGTTGACGCCACATTGTTAAATGACAGGAGCAATCTCTGAAATCCCCCTAGACCTACAATGAAAAAGACATGTTTAATAACTCCTCAAGGCTGAGGCTTCAGATTTCATCTGCGCATGTCCACCAAAGCTTTCCAGCACTCTCAGAAAGTGGCTTTACTGAGCCAAACGTTTCTTGAAGGATGATGCGTAGTTGTCAGGGATATTAAATATTGCTGCAGCGCAAAATACATACCATTTTATGGGTTATACCTACTAATTCAGCGAGAAATACTACTAAACTGGAAGTTCCCGAGTTTACAGGTAAGTCCTAAAACTTACGTTGTGAGTATAAATACTTAACCTATACGTCCTCAGGAGCATGTCACTAGGGCTTCAAGCATGTAGCTTTGGAGTTCTTGTTGTCGCGCCCCAAATCCACGAAGGAACTGACTGAAGAATATGGCCTGGCGTCACAACCGAAGGCCAGGCTCTCTGTCTTTGCTGGCAATTATTGCGTGAAACCCTTTCAAGGGCAATTTGTCGTTGAGCACATGGAGCCGGCTCGGGTTTGCGGACGCTCAAACGCGGCCTCACGGAGGGCTTATGCCCTCTGCCTTCCTGGAGCAAGGGTCCTGGCGACGCAATGAAGTTTACCTGTATCCCCTACTAAACATGGTAGTTTCTTTCAACTCAATAGTACCACCTTGCTTGTGTTGCGGGTGAAGCCTTGCATGTATCTGTACATGCAGGCTACAGAAGATTTAGGGTTTGGAGAAGGTTTAGGGTTTGCGGCAAGCCCTCCTAGCTATTGGCTTCACCCTCAGCGTGTGCTGTCCGATCCGCAAGTCTGAGATCTCTTCCACCTGAAATCAACGCAGCCACCTCACCTCAACCGTTACCACTTAAGTCTA